CTGCCAACCCGAAGAAAGATTAGTTTCCCAGGCTCAAAAAAAAAAAAAAAAAAAAGAACCTGATTCGCTGTCACTAACTTTGCGTCTTAAAAGGGGAAGGAGGAATAGGAAGTGGAGCGTAGGTTCGGGTCAGACCCAGCCCTGGCCGTCCTTCGTGCTCGCAGCCGAGGCCATTTTGGGCTTCGGCGTTCTCCTCCAGGGACCCGAGGCGGGGAGCAGCGGAGAGCGGGGCCCCAGTAAGTCTCCAAGAACTCACACCCGGGCCTGTGGGGGGTTCCAACTCAGAGGGAGCACAGCTCCACCGCTGCACCCCAGCCGAGACGGTGTCCCCACTTCCCCCGGTCCTAACTTGTGTTCTCTGCGAGGGATCCCTCTGGAGGCTGCAGGGACCTCGCGGGAAGGAGGGCGGGGCGCGGCGGGGGTCAGACCTCGTGGAGACCGAAAGGGAAGCTGCTGGCCGGCAGGGGGCGCTGCGCTCCGCAAAGGGCCTCGGGCTCCCTCCCTTGCTCCTACAGTGTCCTCAGAGAACATGTTAGCTGTGCACTTCGACAAGCCGGGAGGACCAGAAAACCTTTACTTGACGGAGGTGGCCAAGCCCAGCCCAGTAGAGGGTGAAGTCCTCCTGAAGGTGGCGGCCAGCGCCCTGAACCGGGCCGACTTACTCCAGGTACCCAGGGGTCAGGCAGTGGCTGGGGCAGGGTGGGACTCGAGGGCCTTCGATAAACATTCACCAGACCGATGAAGGAATGACCTAGGGCACTGCCTGTAACTTTCATCAAGATTTGTCTGCAGAATGTGTGCTGGGGGTTCTAAGACAATATACAGGGATATTTACAAAGCAGCATCTACCCTGTGTTAATCCATCATCTGCTCAGGCTTCCAGATAAGGAGATGGGAACTACCATTTGTTCAGGGGGTTGTGTGTTAGGCCTTGTTCTATCTCATTTACTTCTCAGGCAACCCTGCTTACCATTCGCATTACCCAGATAAAGAAACAGAGTCAGAGGTTAAGCAATACGCCCAAGGCCACAACACTAGTAATCCGGGCAGCTGTAATTCAAATCCAGGGCTTTGTAGATACAAAATCTGCATTCTTTCCACACAGGCTCCCGGAGCTGGCAGGGGAGTGACTGTACTCTAGGAATCTTCTTTTTTTCTGCTGTTTGAAACGCTAAACTGAGCCAGCTGCATTGATTGGGGTAACTGAGAAGTGAGTGCCAGAATCACCTGGGGCACTTTTTCTTAAAGATTTTATTTTTATTTATTCATTTATTTGAGAGAGAGAGCGTACACAAGGGGAGCAGCAGAGGGAGAGGCAGTCCAGCCAACTGAGCCACCCAGGCGCCCCTGGGGCACTTTTCAAAAATAAACATGACCAGGGGTGCCTGGGTGGCTCAGTCGTTAAGCGTCTGCCTTCGGCTCAGGTCATGACCTCAGGGTCCTGGGATCGAGCCCCGCATCGGGCTCCCTGCTCCGCAGGAAGCCTGCTTCTCCCTCTCCCACTCCCCCTGCTTGTGTTCCCTCTCTAGCTGTGTCTCTCTCTGTCAAATAAATAAAATCTTTAGAAAAATAAATAAATAAATAAACATGACCAGAACCCAGGCATGTGTACTTTGAAAAAGCTCCTCAGATGGTTCTAGGGCACACTCTTGGTTCAGCCCCTCTGCTCTGAAGCCTCCAGTCAGAGGTTCTGAGGATTGCAATGAGTCCAAAGCCTGGCACTTAATATATGAGAACTATCATTAAGGAGTCCATGGTTTTGTTCCTAGTCCTGCTACTGATTTACTTTGTGACTTCAGACAAGGCGTTTCCCTGTGCTGGTCTCAGTTTCTCCATTTGTAAAACAAAACATTTAGATAAAGTAAATAGCTAAGGACCCTACCAGTTACCTTATTTGAATTACTTCTCCTGTCTTTTCCTGACTTACAAAACCTGACATTATCCCAATTTTTCTGAGAAAAAGAGGGACTATTGGAAGGGGGCCAGGGATGGTGACACACACATTTCTGATCATGCTCACCACTTAGTGCACCCCTCTTTCTGCAGAGACAAGGCCAGTATGCCCCACCCCCAGGGGCCAGCAGCATTTTGGGCCTGGAAGCATCTGGACACATAGCAGAGTTGGGGCCTGCCTGCCGAGGGCACTGGAAGATTGGGGACCCAGCCATGGTTCTGCTGCCCGGTGGGGGACAGGCTCAGTATGTCACTGTCCCTGAAGAGTTCCTCATGCCCATCCCAGCAGGACTGACCCTGTCCCAGGCTGCAGCCATCCCGGAGGCCTGGCTTACCGCCTTCCAGCTGTTACATCTCTTGGGTGAGGAGGCCCCCCATGCTCACTCCATACAGTGTGGTTCAGTTACTTCATGACTCAGCCACCTCAAAACCCAGCAGTCCTCTGGCGCAGCTTTGGCCTGGCCACTGAGCCACACCCAACCCCAGCGCCTCGCCCTAATGTACTACCGATAGTATCAGGTCCTCCTCATACCATGTTAGCAATGGCCTGATGTTGAGGCTGAAAATCATGGTTAGCAGTTGGAAAGCCTGAAAAGCACTGGATAGAAGACCTGTGTATATCTTCACACTGTAGACCCACCAGTAGTCCCAGCAGCTCAAAGTCCTGCTGAGCTTCTCTTTGCGAGCCCTAGTGCAGTAGAAGGGACCAGTCAATCAACTTTTATTCCTCCTCAATCCCCCTGAAGCCAGCTAAGAGCTAATGGGGCGGGGGGACCTAAAAAGACCAGGTCCCTGCTGTCAGGGAGTGCAGTAAACCTGGGAAAACAAGGCATGTACAGGAATTAGACAACCATAGAGTTCAGAAGATGGCCTAGTCTCTACAACAGAAACTCAAGATGCGGAGGGCAGTGCCTGGGTGGCTCAGTCGGTTAAGCATCTGCCTTTGGCTCGGGTCATGATCCCCCGGTCCTGGGATCGAGCCCTGCACCCTGCATCGGGCTCCCTGGTCAGTGGGGAGTCGGCTTCTCCCTTTACCCCTCCCTCCCACTCATGCTCTCTGTCAAATGAATAAATAAAATCTTTAAAAAAAAAAAACCAAAATGGGAACAATTAGTGTGGGCACAGGTGGTCAGAGAGGGCTTTCTGGAAGAGAAGGACTTGAAGGGTGGGTAAAGTTGAGATGTGACAGAAGGCAGGCCAAGGTGGCTTAAGAGAGTGTCAAGGTGAAATCAGCTGTTCCACTCAGAGTGAAGGATGATGATGATCATCTGTGAAAGATGAGACTGGGACTGGGTTTTAGTGGCCTTGAATGGCACGTTGCCTGGACTTGATGCAAAAACCAAGTGAGAACCACTTTATATTTTGAGGAGAAAGTGACATAATGAAAGCTCCATTTTAGGAAGAGGAGCCTGGTGGTTGTGTATGGTGCCTGGATCATTGAGACCAGTTGGAGACCAGTTTCAGACTGAAGAAGAACTGGCTTCAGGTGGTGACTGACAGTGGGAATGATAGTTAATTCTTATTAAGGTATATGTCAGAGATGTGCGTCTCGGGATTATTTCATAAGTAAAAGAGATTATGGATGTGGCTGCTAACAAATGTTTCAAAAGGTTGTTTCCCACTTCGACAAGAGGCAGTAAAACAAAAAAGAGCTGTCATGTTCTCTTAAGAGAGCAAGAGATTTGGCATTTTGTGGTCCGGGGCCAGGTGCATATGGTAGAATATGCCTGCATGTGGAATGTGTAGCACTTGCAAAGTAAAGACAAGGGTTCCTGTACTTTGTGCCGCAGGAAACGTTCAGGCTGGAGACTTTGTGCTAATCCATGCAGGATCAAGTGGTGTGGGCACAGCTGCCATCCAACTCACCCGGATGGCTGGAGCTATTCCTCTAGTCACAGCTGGCTCCCAGCACAAGCTTCAGATGGCAGAAAAGCTTGGAGCAGCTGCAGGATTCAATTACAAAGAAGAGGATTTTTCTGAAGCAACACTGAAATTCACCAAAGGTAAACAATAGCTCCTGCAGCCCAACAGGAATTTCGGAGATGATTCAGTCATATCCTCACCAGTCTGAAGTTTGCCAGTGCTCTGGACTGGTTTGCCTCTGCTAAATGCACAGCAGCTGCCCAGCCAAATTCTAGCACCCTGGCGTTTGATCTCTGGAGACAGGCAGGCAGTGTTTAGGACTAAAATGTTTCTGTGTGCATTCTTGTAAGTGATAACATTAGACACTTTTTAGAAACCGGATGAATCACAGAGAGTTGGACTAGAATTATCCAGGAGCCATTCTTCCAAGTCACTCTGGAATGAGTTAATAGGAGCTTAGTGTGGTCATAGTAGGGTTAGGATGGTAGCTCTCTAAATGGGTGAGCCTCTGTATTCCAAAGCCAAATCTGTATATTTTTGGCTCACCCTTTCTATTTTTCCACAGGAGTTAAAAAGGAGACATGAAACCAAAGCTTGTAAAACTACGATTCAGATAACCCAGTGCAGACACTATAATTTAGATGCGAATGCGCCTGCCCAGTAGACTGGGTGGCTCTCCCCTGTTCTGTTCTCATTCGTGCCTGGGTGCCAGTGGGTTCTGTACTTAACGCGGGGATCAAGAGAGATACCAAGTCATGGTGTTGCCCCATATCCCTCTTGCTGTGGCTAGGAATCATAAAAGATGAACTACAGTTGGGCGCCTGGGTGGCTCAGATGGTTAAGCGTCTGCCTTCGGCTCAGGTCATGATCTCAGGGTCCTGGGATCGAGTCCCGCATCGGGCTTCCTGCTCCTTGGGAGCCTGCTTCTCCCTCTGCCTCTCTCTCTCTTTCTGTCTCTCATGAATAAACAAATAAAAAATCTTAAAAAAAAAAAGATGAACTACAGCACACATGTATGATAGAGTTCAGCTACCTAAACTCCATCTACAACAGTGTTTTTTTTTTTAAGATTATTTATTTATTTATTTGAGAGAGAATGAGAGAGCACATGAGAGGGGGGAGGGTCAGAGGGAGAAGCAGACTCCCTGCCAAGCAGGGAGCCCGATGCAGGACTCGATCCAGGGACTCCAGGATCATGACCTGAGCCGAAGGCAGTCGCTTAACCAACTGAGCCACCCAAGGCGCCCTACAACAGTGTTTCTATGAGCGGTGTTTCTAGTTCCAACCTACAGATTTCCACTTGCACCTATATATATACCCATATATTCACAAATATACCGTGGAATCACTTTGCACAAAGCCTTCTGTGTCTGATGAGCTTTACAAATCTGTGTTTCATGTGAAAGGTGCTGGAGTCAACCTTATTCTAGACTGCATAGGTGGATCCTACTGGGAGAAAAACGTCAGCTGCCTGGCTCTTGACGGTCGCTGGATTCTCTATGGTCTGATGGGAGGAACTGACGTCAGTGGACCTCTATTTTCAAAGCTACTTTTTAAACGAGGAAGTCTCATCACCACTCTGCTGAGATCTAGGGACAAAAAGGTGAATGATGAGTGAAAGAAAACATGTGATGTAATTATTACCCACAAAAGTGTGGTGCATTTACGTAGCTCCAAGAAAGGAAGACCTGACACATCATATGTTAGAGAGCCTATGTAGAAACCTGCTCCCCCCACACCCCCATGGATAAATAAGTAGCCATTTTCACAGAACTCAATTAGTAAGTGGTCAACAGAAGTCTCAACATCTTGGAAAGAAGGTAGCTAACACTTCACATACAAACTTTCTAACAGAATGAACAAAGCATTGACAATACTAGGAAATATATTTTTCATAGTGCCAAGATGCTGTCTTTCAAAGGCTGAACTCTTCTCAGTGTGATAAGAAAGGTGAATAAGGTTAGTTAAGGCTCTACCTTCAACAGATTGTTACTGAATCGTTTTGTACTCTAGCAGGTGCCAGACTGGAGAATGTTTACCAACCTAGGGTTTCACACCTGTGCGATAGCAGAGCTTAACATCCCTTTCGAACTGAGCCTGTAGAAGTCCTGTCTGTGGCCGCCGCCTGCTTTAAGCCCTGTTGTCAGTACCACTAATATTTTAGTACAGGATTCAGTCTTTTCTCTGGTACAGAAGAGAGGTTATACATTTGGGGGCGTGCACATACGTGCTGGTAGGGAAGGGGTTACGTACCCCATATGTGCATTTTCAGATGGCGTCTACACTTCAGAGAGCACAAAGGCTAATAATGAGCAGGATGGGGAGCGGCAAGGTGAAGTCTCCGTCTAGACTGATGATCTCCTTTTATCTTAAGTACAAGCAAAGGCTGGTGGAGGCTTTCACAAAACAAATCCTGCCCAACTTCTCCACGGAGAGCCCCCAACGTCTACTCCCGGTGTTGGACAGAGTCTACCCCGTGGCTGCAATTCAAGAGGCCCATGCATACATGGAGAGTAACAGGAACGTGGGCAAAATCGTCCTGGAACTACCGCAATGAAGGAGAAGGCTTTCCTAGGACAAAATGGATAAAAGTCCATAGTACGCAGGAAAGAGATCGCGTGTTACTCCAGGCCACCCTGTAACCCACTGGCCCTCCCCTAGCCTCGCCTACTGATCCGTGTAAAGCCGATCTGAGAAAATAAAGAGCAGATTCGAAGGGTTGCCCTCTCACTGTGGCGGCCCCAGACCGCGGACTGAGGCCGTCAGGGCGGGAGTGGAGTGGGTGTCTCAACCGCCGCCATCGTAGGGATTACAGCAAACGCCCGAACAGTGGGCGCTCAACTCGGGCTGCTCCAGAGCCGAGGGTTCCGGGTAAGGGAACAGCGTCGACCACCACACGACGTGCCACAACTCCCTTAGCTCCCCTCTGCGCAGCACCATCGGCCCGGGCCCACCCATCAGCGCTCCCGCTCCCGCTACGCGAACCTCGAAGAGGCCAGGCTCCGCCCCCTCCCGCAACTCACCTGGGCGCAGCCCCACCTCGTCCGGCTCTCCTAGGCCCGCCCCCTCTGTCCAGCTTCCTTTGCTCAGGGCCGCCCGACAGGAACACCGCCCCTTCTTAAGCCCAGGTCCCGCCCTTTCCGGTGCGCAGCTCATAAAAGTGTCTCGAATGCTCACCTTTCATCGTTCCGGCCTGTTTTTCGTCTCATGTTCGTTTTGCCCCGGAGTCTTTTCGAAAGGGGGTATTACGTCAGCACGTCTGAGCGTGAGACGGCGATAATCCGGCGTGTTGTAAAGCTTCCGGCGGAGGTTGGATGTTGATGTCCTGGCCTTGACGCGGTGTTGCGGTCCGGTAGAGCGAGCTCCGGAGGTGTCCGGAGGAATTCCAGTGTTTGCTGCGGTAACCTTATCAGACCACCAAGATGGCGATGCAAGCGGCGAAGAGGGCGAACGTGAGTATCGGGGCCTTCTGCGGAAGAGGGGGGGACCTCCCTCCTGGACTTTCTTAACGGTGTGGAGCTGTGTATTTTGCCCCTTTTGGGTTCCCCAGGCCATAGTAGTCCAGAATTTACTGTTATCACTTGGAGTTCCATCCTGGCCCCATCGTTACGGATATGCTTCTTGAGCCACAATTCCGTCTCCATCCCTTTTGAGAGTTCCCTCTATCTCTTATTCTGGTGTCAGTGATAGTGTTGGCCCTACAGTCTTTGTTGTTTGATCTGCACCTAGGACTTGGCGACAGGATCTTCTCCGCCCTAAAATCAGTAGCACAGACGAGTCCCCAATAAGTAACCTAATACTTGACAGCCAACCAGAGTCTGGGATTCTCCTCAAGTCACGGGGCTTTTTGGATCCTTCATTAATGTCTTAGTATTTTTGAACACCTATGTACCAGAATTGAGAGATAGGAAACAATTCAGAAGTTAAATTTACTGAATACCTACTGTGTGCCTGACACTAGTCTACGTATTGGGGATACAACAGTGAGTAAAACAAAAAGCCCTTCTGTTTACATTCTAATGTTAGAGAATGGGGTATTATAGAAACCTAAGAAAAACTCTCAAGAAAAAGAGGTTAGGTCAACTGTAAGGCAGAGAGATATACGTTGATGAAGACAGAAAATTGGACATGGTGAGATGCAGAATTTTGGTCACTTTGATGATCATTCAGTGGATGAAAACTTGGTTGCAGTGGGATGAAAAGAGGATGGAAGTTAAGAAAATTGAGACAGCTCTTTCCACAGGTTTTCATGTAAATAGGGAGTACAGAGATTGGATGATAGTTGACTTTTTCCTCTTTTAAGATGTGTGGTATAAGGTGTATTTGTATGTCAGTGAGAATGATCTGATAAAGTGTGAGAAATTGATGTGGGAGAAGGATGAGGTAAGTTCAGGAGTGAAGGTTTGGAGTAGACAATAATGAGAGGGAGAGGGGGTGGATATGAATGAATTTAGATTGTTGGGTTTAGTGACATGAATATAAGGTACTTACCATTCGGTCATATATACTTCCTTCAATAAGCAAGAGGCAAGATCAACTCCTGGGATAGGCAGGGAAAAGGTTACAGCCCAACTCAGATGGTGGAGGGAGTGGTGGTGGTAAGGTTTAAGAAGAGAAAGTGTGATACAGTGTCTTACAGAGTGAGAAAGCAGATTAATGAGAGAAGTGTATTATAATTGGAAGTGTTGTCTATTTGAACTCAGTTTGAAATCTTAAATCTAAAACTTTATTGTACTTACTTGTTGACCATTTGTCAGCACTAGTTTGAGGGGAGGGATTAAGTATCCTCTTTTTCCTTTTTTACAGCACTTAGCTTAATGCCTTAAAAAGCTGAGAGTTTAATAGTTATTGAGCAAATTAGTATCCAGTATGTAATTGAATATGTTAATAAGAACACAGGAGTGAACTCTAGATGGGAGATATATATTTGAGTCATCAACTTACTGTGGGAACCATGTGTGTGGTTAAGAGATGAAAGAGGGCGTAGAATTGAGAGTATACAAAGGGTCAAAAAGGAGTCTAAAAGTAAAACTCTGTAGAAGAGGATATTTTAATGGCAGGAGTGAGAAGAACTAGCCAGAGAGGTAGGAGCAAGCCAAGGAAATAAAGTGTCAAGAATAGTCAACAGTGTCAGAAGCCTCGGAAGTTAAGTGTGATGATAATTGAATACCGCAGTTAAAGGTCTTAATGTCAGGTGCCTGGGTGACTCAGTCGGTTAAGTGTCCAACTCTTGGTTTCAGCTCAGGTCTTGATCTCCAGCCCCATGTTGGGCTCCGTGCTCAGCACGGAGACGGCTTGAGATTCTCTCCCTCTGCCCCTCGCCACCGCTTTTATAAGATTTGTTAAATCTTTTTATAAGATTTTTTTTCTTTTTTAAAGATTTTTATTTATTTGTTTGACAGAGAGACACAGCAAGAGAGGGAACACAAGCAGGGGGAGTGGGAGAGGGAGAAGCAGGCTTCCCGCTGAGCAGGGAGCTGGATGCAGGGCTTAATCCCATGACCCCGGTATCATGACCTGAGCCAAAGGCAGACACTTAATGACCGAGCCACCCAGGCACCCTTTTTATAAGATTTTTTTTAAAAAGGTCTTAGCATAAAAGTATTTTCATCAGTGCTGGGGTGGAAGCTGGGTTGTGGTAGGTTGATGAGTGTCAGTGAAGTAAGGAATATGAGGTAAGTGAGTATAGACTATCTTTCCAGATGCTTTACTGAAAAAAGAGAAAAGCAAAATAGGATAGTAAGTAGAGAGCTGATAAGTTCAGGGAAGGCAGAAACCTTGCTTTTTCCCTTCACTGTGTAATCCTAATACCTAGCCTGATAGGTGCATGAAGAAGGTGCTCAGTAAATATTTCTTGAATGAAGGAAGAGGGATACAAATGACTATTCTGTTTTGCATGACAATTGTCAGGACTTAAACAGCTGCTCACCTAAGGAATAGAAGCCAATGATGAAGGAAAGACTATAAATTCAAGAGAGAGAAGATATTGTTGATTCAACAGGTTCTTGAAAAGACCGGATAAGAGTCATCAATAGTAGTTTTATTGTCTAGGAAACAGGAACACTTCCCTTTGTTCTTTCCCATATATGTCTGAGGCATTGAGGACTTTTAAATGAGGTTGGAGATCCTTGTTTAACTGCAGTGACTGGAAGCCTGGGTTTTATAGTAGCCCCTTGCTAGTTACTACTAAGAGTCCTCCTCGTGCCCAGTTGCTTTTCTGAAAAGCATGTCATTTTCAGGAACATCAGATTATAATTTTTTTAAATAATTCTTATTCTTGCCTATTATGTGGGGTTTTTTTGTTTGTTTTTACTGTGAGAATTTATGATGAGAAATTTTTTTTCTCATAATGCTACATAGTGGTAGCACTCCTGCCCCTGATTACAATAATAGTATATATTTCTCATTTTAGATTCGACTTCCACCTGAAGTAAATCGGATTTTGTATATAAGAAATTTGCCATACAAAATCACAGCTGAAGAAATGTATGATATATTTGGGAAATATGGACCTATTCGTCAAATCCGAGTGTGAGTCTTACTGAGACTTTTGAAATGTCGTTTCAAGAAAATGATTGTATAATCTCAGCATTATAGCTGACAGCAAGGCCTAACCAAAAGCCTAGAGACTAAAGGGATTGAAATCTGGGAGATGAGATTTTTTTTTGTACAGAAAAAAATGAGACCTTCCTGATCTAGCTCAGTGAGAACCAAGAATAATAGTTGTGAAATTAGAGAAGGCATGAAGTAGTAATGAATGGTTTGAGGGGAATGGGTGGGAAAAGAAAGAACATCTATTGCGTAACTGTTATTTGTAAAATCAGATAACGTACTGTGTTTTTTATATGCATTAACTCTAATTTTCTCTCCTATCTCCTTTACTGACTCCAGAATTCCTGAATAAACTGAGTAAGGAGGTATAAAAGTAACTGAGAAAAATGACTTTTTTCCCAACTACAGCTTTCTATTGAAGATTTATTTTTTATTATTATTTTTCCTATTGAAGATTTATTTTTTTTCCAAAGATTTTATTTATTTATTTGAGAGAGAGAGAATGAGAGAGAGCACATGAGAGGGGGGAGGATCAGAGGGAGAAGCAGACTCCC